AGTAGCGGTAAAGAGGCACTAAATTCCACTTCTTTCAGAATGCAGATACATGTGTGATTTGCTACGTCACTGGATCAAAAGCCAAAGCGTTGCAATTTAAGCTAAACATTTTACGAGAAAGCATTATTATTACTTTTTAGGCATTTATTTTTCTCTTCTCTTCAAGGAAGGCAGCAACAATCAACAATTCCTAACAGCAAATTCAGTTGAAAATGTGGTAGTTTGCATTCATTTCAGGACTCAGGTGTTGTTTTTATGTTGTAAAAAAGACGATAGGGTAGTCACTTTGTAATTGCACACAACTGTGAAATGTTTCTGTTGGATCTGGTCTAAGCCATCGGGCCATTTTCGCTTGGCTGGGCGAGCAGTGAGACCGATCGTTTCGCCCCGGGGCATTTGGCGTGAAGACCATGTGACCCTGCCCGGGAGAACAAGTACAGGGCGCAGTCGCAAAGGCTGGACTGGAGCAAGGTTGCATGGAACAGGCTAAATAATGTATATAGGTGGGCGTCTTGTTAGACTGTTCCATGATGATCATTTACAAGAAAAGGTATTTACAAAACACATTAGTCTGCAGCAAGTGACACTTCGACAAACCCCGCTTAACTAAGCAGGCCGGAAATGCTATCTTGTCGGATTTTCCCCTCCACAGCATAACATCTCTCACTTCAAAAGCGAGCTAGCATAAAGCTCCGAGAAATTCGCGCTGAAACAGAACAAAATACGATTCTAGAGCCATCCGCGACTTCAAAGGAAGCTGCACTCATTTTTCACCTCGAGCTTTTCTCTCGCGCAGCCTTTCGACACGCGGGGAGCTGTTTGAGCTTCCCTAATTCCGCATACTTCTCTCGCTTGATATAAGCTGGTTTTTACGCGCTGGTCGGCTGCCGTCGGCATATGAGGGCCTATTCGGCAGCCGTCGGATAAGAGGGTGTGTATGATTTACCGGAGGGAGCTGGCTCGGCACCAGCTCGGGCCACGGAGCGGAGTGTCTGCCGGCCGGTCGCTGCCAGCGCACCCAGCTCGGTAAATCTCCTGGAGCTGTCACCGACGCCCAGCGCTATCGGCCCAAACCGAAAATAAGCCCCCGAGAGATGGATTATCTCAGAGACAGCGCGAGAGATGCTCCGAGGGCCGTGAGCAGTTGACCTCTTGAGATGTTTAAGTTAGTCGGTAGTGACTTTGTATCGGCTGTCCAGAAACTCCATGCCGTCTTAAAAATCATGAAGACGCTGATTGGAATTCGAAATGTGGAATACAGGTGACATGGAGATTTGGCTCACATGGCATGTTACGAGCTTTAAGTAATATAATTACCGTTCATAAGTAGCTATGTGGCAGGATATGAAGAAATCGTGGTTAAGTGTGGATTGCATATGTTAATGTTGTGGAATTACCTGTGCCAGTTGTGAGCAGCTGTGTCTTTTCTCTCTCTCTCTCTCTCTCTCTCTCTCTCTCTCTCTCTCTCTCTCTCTCTCTCTCTCTCTCTCTCTCTCTCTCTCTCTCTCTCTCTCTCTCTCTCTCTCTCTCTCTCTCACTCTCTCTCTCTCTCTCTCACTCTCTCTCTCTCTCTCTCCCGCTCTCTCTCTCTCTTTCTCTCTCTCTCTCTCTCTTTCTCTCTCTCTCTCTCTCTTTCTCTCTCTCTCTCTCTCTCTCTCTCTCTCTCTCTCTCTCTCTCTCTCTCTCTCTCTCTCTTTCTCTCTCTCGGTCTCTTGGTTTCCGTCGTAATGCCCACATTTTTGTGATTGTCCGATGAAAAGAAAAATAAATAAATAAATAAATAAAATTAAGTCATAATTCAATTCATATACGGTGCGGGCGATACAATAAAATGAGCTTCATCGATCTATTCCCCACCTTAACCCATTTTGCTTCCTTATTCTACAACAGTAAGAATCATAGGCGTAGAGCTTCAATGTCACTTTGTGGGAGCACTAATAACCCCATGAAGGAATTCGTTGCAGTTTTGTGCTCACCTCACCTTGCTGAACCATTTCCTGCTCTTAGTTTTGTATTGAAATCCAAAATAAAGATTTTACTGTTTAAAAAATGACTGGAAAAATGTTATGGCCCTCCCCCCTGTTCTTCCACCTATGGTGAGAATACCTATGCGTTCAAACTTTGGTGCGATTTATTCTCGCCGTGGATGTTGGCTTAATCAACACTTGCAAAAAATCTCGTTGTTAACACTCAGCTCTCTCGACCGTATCTTAAAACTTCTCACTTAGCTACAAACGGATCCAATTTGAATTAAAATAGCACCTGCATAATTCTGCTTAGACACTCAGGAACTTTGTATTTGCATTAGAGCTTTTTCCTCCGACTAGAATGTAAACGTTTTCTGTCCAGCAAACTTCATCCACTTCATCCTTCTATTAATCATGGTAGTTGTATTTCGCTTACAAGAGATGTTAATTTCGAATTAGCCTATTCAGTTAGTTTCAACAGAGTACTTGGGTCGTGGCGATCTAGAGAATAAATACCTATCTCGTTTACATGAGAATTGCTCGACACCATTATTTGCTCATTCTTACGCGTGAACAATGAGCTTGAAGTTGATCCTAAAAGTTTTAATTTACGAGTTATTTAGTTTTCCAGCTAGTCAAATGTGGAATAGGAAATGCACGTACTCGCGGCGGTGTCATTCATGAAATCAGTCCTCTAAGAACCTTCAAACACCATAACTCGGAAGCGGAAACCCACCAGCGCGGCGCCACCCATCTCTCCCACCGCCATGGATGTCTCTCCGGTCCCAGACCCATGGACCCGTCCCGGTGGCCAAGCGCCGGCTCTGGACCACTGTCAGGCAGGGGCCGGATGGACCTGCTTTGTTTGTGATCCACCCGACCGGCTACCCGGCCCTCCCAGGGTGTCCCGGGTGGGGACCCTCCGTCTAGGTCACCGGTGCCAGGTCAGGTCCGGCCGGTCACGGCCTGGGGACTTCTCAATAGTCACAGTTCACGAAGTCATCATATTTGTAGAATGGAGGTATTCCGTGACTGGCAGTTTATCAAACTGACATTTCCGGGAACCTAAACAGGCTCTGTCGGTTAAAGGGGCGCGGTTATGCGGTGATAAATATTGATTTGAGTGGTGTGGCGCTATGATAGATGTTGCTGCAGATACCCATCAGGCAAATGGCCGTTATCTTCTGAACACTATCGGCTGATGTACTGTTCGGTGATACTGTGGCCGTTTGATGCGCGATATGGCTATATGGGCCCTCCGTTTGATCTGCGGGATGGACCACGTCGTCAGGTGCACGGATAACGGACCACCGACTGTGACAGACCATCGGAGTATCACTGTCGAAGGCTGACAGGTCAGGTAAATAACGGTGGGTGAAGTAAATAAAACATTTCTTATTATGACAAACTTATGATAAATGCAGCGAGCTCTGTTCAGTGTTTTTAACGAGGTGTATAAAACGCTCCTCAAATTCAAGGCAGCATTGGTATTCTTATTCTGCATTCAGCAAGACTAATTTACAAGCGCACCACAAAATTTGATTGGTAATTGCATATTGTTCGGAATTCAGGCAGACAGCAATTCGGCTAGAAACACTTAGCCATAAGGAGAGTTTGTCAATTAGGACCCATAATTCTCTCGAGCACATGTTTCGATATCGTAAATCCGTCATTAAGTGTTCCAGTCCAGGAGCGTCGGCTCCAAATAGGATTTCCCGGCAGCCATAAAAGTCAGCCGCTGGCGTTCCGCAGCCATCAGCAATTTCAGTAGTGAGCCGCCGTACCGTGCGTTCAACAGGCCCGCTCAAATTCCCAACCTTTTCTAGAATGCGCCTCTTGCCAGCTAACTTCCATTAGAAATTTTCCGCTCGGTGTGGCGCGATTGTCAATATCGCCGGAATGGTCCCTAATCCGGCGGGCCTGCCAATGTCTGCTAGCTCGTGCGTGTCGCGCGAAACGACGGCCGCCGCCGGACCGCCGCCGCTGCCGCTGCCTTCTCAGACAGTCTCTGCGCGGGCTGTTTGGTAAACCATCGACTCCCCAGATTGCTCTATTCATGAGGCACTCGGAGCGTGCATGCCAGCCGAGAGGGCCCCGCGCGTGCCTGTGCTAACTGGACCGATGGTCGATGCCTCCCTTTGTGCCGACACATAATGATGAGTGCTTCTAGATGGCACAGGAGGGTGTGTTTTCTCCGAGCAAATAGTCAGCCACGTGTCAAGTTGGGGTAGCCAGAAAGGCACGCAAGGGAAGGAGGATGTGTAGGTGGGAAAGAGGAGCGAATAAGGGGAGAGAAGAAATAGAACTGGGAAGGGCGGGTGCCTCACACGCCAACGATAGCATCGCACGATAAGGAGAGTGAGGGAGAGAGAGGATGAGAGTGAGAGAGAGAGAGAAAAAAAGAGGGAAATAGAGATGGAGAGAAAGAGATCGCGAGAGAAAGAGACGGAGAGGGAGAGAGAAGCCTAAGGGAAGAAAGAGATGAGAGGAGACATAGTTAACTTACTAATTATTTTACGTTGACTTCATATTGTCATTTGCGAGACGCTGTCAACTTCCGCGCTAAATGATATATCGTATTTGGTTTCAATCTTTGGAGAGTACATACCTATGTCTTTTTGACCATTCAGCGTACCTGACAGATAATGGCAACTGCTTGGTGGCTGGTCGTCGCTACGACGCGATGCGACGCAGCTGATGTCTGCCGGGCGAGCGCTTGTAATGCGGCACAGTATACCGACGCAGGGTTCTGTGTCCTGCGGTGCAGCATACCAGTTCAGTTGTGAGACGGGAGATCGGGCTCCACGGCTGGGAGATGCACTGGGCAGTGGGCAGTTGCTGAGAAATGTGGGAATGCAGGCGCGTCAGTCACTTATCTGATACCTGACTGTGACCAGATTGGTGCCTATTTACGTTGCTGTTAGCTGTTAGGTGCAAGTGTGCCTCGAATGTCCCTCATATTGCGTGACGCTATCAAATAATGTGATTGCAATCGCCACCGCTAGATAGATAAAACCCCCATGAATGCACGTATTCATATCATAAAAATGTATTTATTATCTACACAAACTAGAAATAAATTGTAATACTCGGGACAGCTGAGATCATCATGAGATCGTCACGTAGCATTTACACAGCAAATAACACGTGGACGCGACCGACCATATTGGCATCAATACATACACGAGCGCATTCCTCAATAACTGGACGCATGGACGAAACACCAGGTATGTGGGTAGTGCCACCCTCTAGACGAGATACGTCTGGCCGGAGTGCCTGTTTCTGCGGCTGCCGGACGGTCGGCGGACAGAGTAAAACACCCAGCTGGCCGGCACGTACCCGGGCGCGTCCGGCTCGGGTCGCGCCCCCTCGCCCGCCACATCATCGTACACTGCCTCTGGGACGCGGCCATCGTCCGGCCTATCCAGCCACACGAGCGGCCCACCGCCGCCGGACAGACACTGCCGCGGCGAGGCATCGAAAGCTCGCGGCGAGCCGCCCCCGTCACTGTTCTGATAGGTGTGCAGCGTGGCATGTCGCGCGGCCGGCGGGACGGATTCGTCCCCTGACGAGCGCTCGTGGAAGTCTATTGTGTAGTAGACGCGCGAGTTATCGTACTTTTCCACGTACAGACTCGGTACCTGGCTGGAGACGGGCGTTTTGGCGGGGACGAGAGCGCTCGTCTCGGCGGCGGAGCCCTTCTCGGGGTGATCGAGTGTCTCGACGCCCTCCACGGGCTCGCAGAGCACTGACGAGCTGACAGACCGTGTCAGACTGGAGTCGGCTCCGGCCCGCGACAGCCGCCACCGGCGCCACCACGGCTCGGCAGGCGGGGCGCCGCGAGGCCGGGGCAGGCGGTAGCGCAGCGCCTGCCAGAAGCGCTTCTCGCCCCACCTGACCACCGGGTGTGTGCGCAGCAGCAGGGTCATCTCCTGGTCGGTGTCGGCGTCCGGCAGACCACCGTCACACACGACCACCAGCCTCCGCCGGCCGCTCACCGCCGCCTCCGTGTGCGCCGACTTGAAGGCGAAGTGGCACCACTCGTTGTCGAGGAAGTTCTGTGTGACGACGAGCAGCACGCGGCGGCTGGCGGCGGCCGCGCGCCGAATGGCGGCCGGCTGCGGTGGCACATCCCGGTGCAGCACGCAGCAGCGGTACGGCGGGTGGCCCGTCTCCAACTCGGCCACCAGCTGACTGGCCAGCTGCGTGTCCTTGCTGCCGTGACTGACGAACACATCGAACATGCTGCCCTCGCCGTCGTCGGCCTCGCCGAGCCGCACGTTCAGCTCGGTGAACAGGAGGTACCGAATCTGACGTCTGAACAGGAACACACACGCCGCCAACAGGAGGAGCGCGCTGGCGGAGAGGACGGCAAACAGGGAAAGAGACACGTACACGTCTCTGCGCTGGGAGAGCACCGCCGTCGGCAGGCGGCGGCAGTCTTCCTGGGGCCCCTCCAGGAGCGGAGGACCGACCGCGGACACCACTGGGTCATAGCAGGTCACCGCAGTCGCGTCGGGGACCCGGTCGGCAGCCGCGCGTAGCCAGTCTCCCAGCTGGCGCAGATGACTGCAGCCGCAGCTCCAGGGGTTCTCAGAGAGCGTGAGCAGCGACAGCGCCTGGTTGGACAGGAACGGCCAGTGATCGAGCTCAGTCAGCTGATTGTGGTGCAGGGTCAGCTCCTGAAGCTGCTGAAGAGGCTGGAACACGCTGGCGTTGAGCCAGGCGATTTGGTTGTGGTGCAGGTAGAGGAGACGCAGACTAGAGAGGTCTTCAAACTCGTACCCGACCAGCGTGTGGATGCGGTTGTGCTGTAGATGCAGCTCCTGCAGTCCAGTTAGTCCGTTGAAGGTTTTGTTGTCGACAGCGTCGATGTCTGAGTTGTTCAGGTACAGCCTCTGCATGAATTTGCGTCCGATTAGAACGTGGTTTCCCAGCGAGGCAATGGCATTACCGTCCAAAAAGACATCCGTGGCGTCCATCGGCATCGGCTGCGGGATCTGAGAGTGGTTCTGGTGGGAGCAGTCGACTCTGTTGACACTCCAGAGGTGGTCATTGAAGCAGGAGCAGCCCTCGGGACACGCCATCTCGCAGTCGCACGCGTCAAACTCGCAGCAGAAGCACAGCGCAAAGCAATGCGTCTCGTACTGACACAAGAACATGGACCGGGACATGGCGGCCAGCGAACGGGGACCCCGCCACCGGCTGTCGGCTACTTCACAGGTGATCTGATGGCGATCGATGATGTTCGTTGAACCGGTCAGTAGCCATTCCATCGTGCAGTCGCACATCAGGGGATTTCCACCCAGTTTCAGGGACCGGTTCTTGAACGGGAAGTCATTCAGAGCACGGAGTTTGTTCCAGCTGAGGTCTACCAACTTCAGGCCGGTCCGATTGTTGAAAACGTCGCTGGCTATCTTTGAAATGTTATTGTGACTGAGTATTAGCCGTTCTAGGCGGGCCGGCACGACACCAGCTGCTAGTTCGTTTATGGCGTTGTTTGTCAGGTTCAGAACTTCTAACTCGATAATATTTTCAACGTTGAAGGTGTTATTCAGCGTTGGCAGATTATTGAAACCTAAATCAAGGTAACGCAAAGTTCGAGGAATCATTCCGAGGTCAAAGTAAGTGATTTGATTACGAGATAGATCCAGATGATGTAGCGTTTTCATCGCCATGAACAGCTGGCCGACCTCTCTGATGTGATTTCCTGCTAACCGCAGCATCGAGATCGCACCTAGTTTCTGGAAAGTTCCCACTGCAACGCTAGAGATGTTGTTGTCTCCGAGATCGAGCCAGCGAACGTTCCACATGGGCAGTAGGTCGGTGCTTTGTATCGTGGTTATGTTGTTTCTGGATAGATCCAACGTAAGGAGCCGCGTTAGTCCACCCCTGCCCCTTGCTTCGTACCGCGGAATGATTCTCTCCAGCCTGTTACCGGCAATTTTCAGCTCCTCCAGATACCTCAGCTGATACACCGTGGACGGCATGGTCTGCAGCAGGTTGTCGGTCAGGTCCAGACTGCGCAGCGCCGCGCAGCCCACAAGCGCCGCCGGAGCCACCGTCTGGATCTGATTCTGTGCGAGTGTGAGCTGCGCCAGTCCTCGGAGCGCCAGCGTCGGCAGACGCTGCACCCAGTTGGCGCTCAGATCCAGTGTGCCGAGGTTGACCAGCTGCTCGAGTTGCTCGCCGCTGACGGAGGAGATCCGGTTGTTGGAGAGGTTGAGGGCCTGCAGACTGAAGAGTCCATCCAGCTCCGGGAGCTCGGGTAGGGAGTTGTGGGATAAGTCGAGGACGGTGAGCCGCAGCGCGCCACGCAGAGACACCGAGCCGTTGTCCGTGCCGAGAGCGTTATGCGACATGTTGAGCAGCGTCAGGTGCCGCAGGCTGCGCAGCGTGGTCGCGCCGAGCCGCTCGATCTCGTTGTCCTGCAGCTCGAGTCGGCGCAGCTCAGTGTTCTGTGAGAAGGCGGTCTCGGCGACGTGCCTCACCTGGTTCGACTCGATCATGGCGGCCCGCAGCTGCGGCAGCGCCTCGAACGCCGCAGCTCCCAGAGCCCGGATCCGGTTGTGGCTGAGTCGCAGGGAGCGCAGGTGACGCAGCCCGGAGAGGCAGCCCGAGGGGATGTCGCCGAGCTGATTGTGCGATAGATCGAGGTGGTGGACTTTGCTGGGGCAGCCTGACAGCCCGATCTGACACACTTCCAGCGAATTATGCGCCAGGATGACGCGATGAAGATTCGGAGCGCCACACAGCGAGTCCACTTCCAGTTTCTGCATGCCGTTGAAGCTGAGGTCGAGTTTGCGCAGCTGCCGCAGGCCGGCGAGGGCCCGCGGAGGCACCCGCAGCTGTCGTGATCCCCAGTCGGAGTTGCCCGTTCTGACGGTGAGCTCTCGGAGGTCGGACAGCGGCGCCAGAGGCTCTCTGGCCAGCTCATCTAGCTTGCAGTGGAGCACCTTCAGGTGCCGCACGCCCTCCAGCCCGGCGAACGCGCCCGCTCCGAGCTGGCTGTGGAAGAAGTGCCGCCGACTGCAGGAGACGGTCACAGAGGACACCTGGCCGGCCAGCCGGTGTCCCTCCTCGGGGACCACGGCGTCCTCACCGGCCACGTGCCGCCAGTGGCAGGTGACGGCCGGCGGCCGGGCCGTCCAGACACAGCCGGTGGCATTGTCAGCCCGCTCAGTTCCCGCCCCCACCACCGCCACGAGCAGCGCCGCCAGCAGCGGCCTCCACCGCCGAACCATGACGTCACCTCTCGTCGGCTAGCCGGCGGGCCGATCCGCAGTCGGCGCCGACTCGGCCCCTAATGACCCGGCCGACATCGCCACGAAAAACGGGCCCGACGTGCCTGCGGCCGCTCCGTCAGTCGGCCGCCCGGCGCGGCGCAGGCGACGCCGTTTTTCGCCGCCCGTCCGACTCCATCGCCGACGGTGCTGCGTTACGCGCCTCGCCTCGGTCGCAGTCCGGCGGTCGGTGTTCTGACTTCCTCCGGTCTTAACAGTCCGCCTGGATCTGCAACAAAGGGAATACGGAGCGTCACACGGGTGGTATGGGACCGTTTTACGACGCCGGCCGCTGCACGTGACGGAGGGAGACGGGCCAGAGACCCGCGGCGCGGCTCAATAAATCGGGACCCGACTCCTCCGGGGCAATAACGATCCAGACTCAGTCGACTCCGATACCGGCTCTCCAGACTCAGAGCCGTGGACGGTACTGCCGCTGTCGCTACTAGGTCTCAATCTCTCATATCATAGTGTAGCTGATATGATTCTTGATCTCATAAACAGATACAAAAGTCAACACAACTTCGACTCATATCTTCTGCAACTTAACAACTTTTCCCATTTCATAAAAAGAACGGACGCCACTGTCTTTGTTGTGTCATTGTCGACACCATTTTAAGCACACTACGACGTTGTCTGATGGTTGTAAGTCGTCACCAGCCCCTTCCTACACTGAAATTGGGAATTATTAATAAAAGTAAGTAAATCATGGATAGAGGTGGCGAGATGGGCGTTCGGCACAGCTCGATGCCACACGTCAAGGCTTTCCTCCAAATGGACGAGGGAAGCAGCAACATACCTACTTGTTTCATCCTATGCAGTATGCAGTATACCATACATATTATTCGCCCCAGTCGGCTCCCCACGCCACCCCGCTGGCTGCCTCCCGGCGGCTCTATCAGCACGTCAGAGCCGTCTCCATGAGCTACTGGCAGGTCGGACAGAGACTCCGCACTCATCACATCATCCCACGGAGAGATGTGCTCGTGTCGGAAGATTGGTGCCGCCGCCGCCGGCCGCGCCCGCTGCAATGAGCCGCTGCACGTGCGGGCCGCGGATCCATCAGCAGCCCGGCCCGGCGGCGATTGACATTCTGTCGCCGAGGACGGCCACGGATCATGGCCAGATTCGTGTCCCAAATGGACGCGGTGGCCGCTCGCCGGCGGCGGTCCTGACCTTCCGCGTACGTCATTTGGGCTGAGATGTCACCCGACAGTGTGGCTGAGGTCACCATGATATGTGGCAAGGAGTGAGGCGCAGGGCGCGTCGGCCATGTGGGCATGTTGAGTGTTGCTGATGATTCTTGAATTTCCCCTATATGAGGAGAAGGAGAGGGAAATAAGGAGGATGAGGAAGGACAATGAGAGAAAAGGAGTAGAATAAGGATTTTGTCAGAAAAATCATTCCAGTTAGTCATGCAGCTGTGTATATCAGTTGGAAAGATGTGAAAGTTTTGCTATTAGGTACCTGCTTTCAGAGCGAATCAGTACCTAGGTACCTACATATTTTCAAATCAAAAGATGAGAATTATTTATTTCTCACATGCACGAATGACGAAGCAATACATTCCGTTTCCTTGCGAGCCGAGATCTAAAGGAGCCAGCAATGAGCTCCGTCATTGCTAATCTAATGACACATGGCGCTAATTTTGGAGTTCAATTGGCAGCATTAATGCAACGATTAACGCTGAAATATTTCCTTGAATGGCATTGGCTCTTATCAACTAAATTGACCATGTGGAAGTCCGCGGCGCGATATGACCTAACGAACAGTGAGCGTAGGTGTAGCACGAAATGGCACGGCAGGCTTATTTGCAATATCTTGAAACTTCCTTCATAGAATGGCAAATAATTGAAACGGCTGTTCTTATAAATTTCTTTAATATTGGCTTTTGGACTACCATTGACTGATATCAGCACCCTAATAGAATTACGGCCATTAACCCGCGCGGGGCTGGGGGGGGGGTAAATTTTACCCCCCCTCGCGAATTTTTGCGATATCCAAAAAACGGCGGCGCGCAGCGCCGCCAAACTTTCAGTACCTTTTCTTGCATCAATTTGACACGTTTCCTGAAAATCTGGGCGAAATCCGTCGGAAAATTTTTGAGAAATTGACGTTTTAGTGACGTCATGTTCGCCATTTTCGCCTCAAAAACGGCAAAAGTTCAAACGCCGCTAACATCTTCATTTTTAAAGGAATCAAGACGTAACAAAAATGTTATACGTAATTTTACTTTGTCTATCAAATGGCTATCTCGGTTTTTTGAAAATTTTGAATTTTGGCCTAATTTTTTTCAAAAAACTGACTTTTTTTGGAAAATCATTATAAAATCCAAAATTTTGAGTCTATCGAAAAAACCGGAATATATGTCAGAGAAGTGGTCTATGTGCACCTACATACCAAATTTTAGAAGAATCGGTTCAAAAATGTGGGAGTTATTCAAAATTTTATGACGTCACGACACACAATTTTTTTGAAAAATGACTTTTTTGGAAGTTCTAGACCTCGTACGGAAACAAAAATAGCACCATTCGATTCGCCGTGAAAAACTGCATCAGATAGATACCTTTTTAGGCCTTAACAACCAACTTCAAAATTTGACCTCACTTGACCTGACTTTGACCTGACCTCGACCTGAAATTCATCCAGAGGTGGTCCATATCACTTATTGAGTGTGCCTATTGAATTCTATGAGTAAAATGACCCATAAAACATGTGTCGCACATGCCCTTTTCTATATTTTGTTTTTTGGTGACCTGACCTGACCTGACCTGACCTTGACCTTGACCTCTGAATGATATTGTATGCAACGAATATTGCCTTGGTAGCCTAAGAACACGTTTTGGGCGATTAGTCTCAGTCCATGACTCCATTCTTCGGCAACTACGGTGCAAGGCCGATACTGTAGAAACTTGCAATTGGGGCATTCCACGTCAAATCAAACACCGAAATCCGTCATCCCCTTCGATTTTTCTGAAAATTTGTAGGCAGACTGGGCATGGTTCAAAACTGAGTTACGTATAATATTTTCGAAATTTGATAAAGTATCGCTGAGATATAGGTCATCGAATATAGCCAAAAATGCCACACATCAATTTTTTAAAGGTCTATAACTCTGGTTAATTTTCTGTTATCAAAATGATATTAACAGGGTCTTGTATGCAATTGATAAGGCTTTGATTTTTAATTATAAAGTTAAATTGAAGTGACCTTGAAATGCATTTGACCTTGAATTAAAACAGAAAAATTTAAATAGCAAAAAACACGTCACCTTCGATTCGGGTAATTTTTACATATTATGTCCGTCACAATGTTCCTAACCATCTGTGAAAAAATTGGAGTGGGCCATTCATAACTCTCGCGGCAAACGCCGTTTTCATGCATCAACATCACGCAAACGCGCGTGACCTTGAAAGACAGAGTCAAGACATGCTTGCTTGTGTACACTTTCTGAAATGAATGATTGCTGATTAGTGATATCCCAAACTCTGCGAGAATGGAAATACATAGTCATCGTAGTCAAGTATTCAAGTTCCATAGTAAAAGTGTCTCAGGCAAACGGTATTTTGCGGTGAATTTTGAGCCGTGTGGAAATGCATCATGAAGCCAAAAATTCAACGAAAACATTATCACGCAACGATATCTTCACGTCTTTTTATCTTCACTATACGAAAGAATATACATTTTTGAGTATGTATGGGGAATTTCTAGTTAATCCAATAATAAATATGGCAGTTAGAGACCTGCTAAGAGTAACATGTCGCCGGCTGAGGAGGGATCGGCCGACGCGGGAAACGCAGCAATCACAATTTTGTGTTTACACGTTCATATTTCAATTGTTTACCAACCGATTTTCAAAATTCTTACACCATAAGATTGGCTGTATATTTCTTAGTCTTCTCACAAAATTTGACGCGAATCGAACGTAATCAGCGGTAAGGAGCGCGATGTAAAGACGGAACCGTTCCGTTCCGTCCCGGCACAGTCTACAATTCAGGCGGCGGCTAGCGGTCGGCGCCGGCTGCCGAGTCGCCGCGTCGCCGCGGCGACAGGATGTTCACTTTACACCGCTATTACTAGACCAGTTGTGAACCGATTTTCTTCTTGCTTGCACGATGAGACGTGCAATTCAATTTTGGACAGGTAGCTATAATTAATTTCGCATTAATACTATGAGATATTGGCGAAAAACAGGAGGGGTGGGGCGAAATTCACTCTTCCCCCTCCACTGCGCGTGCTAACATACGTTTGCATATGTGCCATTTTCTTCAAAACTTATGAATAGCCCACTCTAAAACATTTAGAAGACCTGTGGTCAGAATGTGCAAAAAACATCAATGTAATGTTCGGGGCGACACAGGAACTCGCTCACAAATTTATAATGAAATCGCTGATGGTAAGGTGCAAAACAGCCGATTTTTGTTCGATTTGACGTGGAATGCCCCAATTTGTACCCTTGACCTGACCTTGACCTTGACCTCAAACTTTAAATTAAGTACATGTTTTTAGTAGTTCGTGATGAGAGCTTTCGATTGGCGTTTGAATTTTCCAAATCGGACCATTAGTTCGGGAGATAACAGGGGGGTAAAATTTACCCCCCCCCCCCAGCCCCGCGCGTTCGGCTGGAGACCCCAGCCCCGCGCGGGTTAAGTTAATTTTCCAGAGCAGCCTCCATCTATCATCCCCTCGGTCGCCGTTTCTGTTCCACCTATCGCGCGTCTCGCCTGACCACTGACCAGCTCTACAGTTCTGGTATGGATCGGGTGCTATCGGAGCTGTATCTGAGTGATCGATGTCTCACTGTCACACCTGGGCTGCGGATCGCACACCTGGCGGTCGGCCAGATTGCAGATGACGCCCCCCGTACCCAGCCCGGCTCCCCGTCACAGAAAACCATTTCCAAAGACAATGAGCGCCAGCCAAACACAAGTCCATATTGTTTTTATTTTTAATTAGTTTGTGTTCTTGAAAATAGTAATTCGGTGATTAATTCATAGCATCTTATTCGTGACAGAATATTGATGAAAATCTTATTGAAATGTTATCATATGTAGAGATCAGCTGCAGCGAAACATGTTTTAGATAAAAAGGCTGAAATTTCAATCTGTTTCAAGCAATGGAAATCAGATTGATTGGTAACCTTTAACTCATAACTAAAGTAAGCTAAAAACAAATCCAAAATATATTTTCGGTGCTGGACCTTCTTCAGTGGAATTCCACTTTTCCTTC